CCCCAAAACCCCAAAACCCCAAAACCCCAAAACCCCAAAACCCCATTAAAGTCTGCCTAATTTAAGAATGTTTGAAATATTTAGAACATACAAAGTACTGATGCTTTCTAGGATACTGATCCTCCCTTGTATTTCCTTATCATAACATCAGAAAATGGACACAGAGCATGCTTTTGCGAAAGATCTTCTAGATTTTCTTGAACTAAGCTTAGCTCAAATTTGAGATTCACGAGTTATGATAAAGGATGAAAATCTGAACCATCATAACTTATTTTTAAGCTACATTTAACTAAAAAGTCTATAAATTACTTCCTTGATAAAACTTCATCTATAGCCAAGCCTCATTTTTCAATTTAAGCTACTTAGATATAATTTTGCTTTCAACTTTGTTGACTAAATCCTAATCTTAACTCTGCACCAAAAACATCTTTATACCCTCAATGTCTTCTTAAGTCTGAATCGAGCCAGGTCTTAAAGAGGTTGGGAACAATTGGTTCTCTATAAATGCTGCAGAACATATCCATAATGAATCACCAATTATCCCAAATACCTCGCCTCAATTCCTGATACAGGCAAAGCAGAAATGAACCTAGCAGCTGGACTTCATGGGATGGTTTGACCCAAGAGTTGGAAGAACTCTGTTTAGAGCCAAAAAGTGTTCGGCTCCTGGCTACAGCCGTCAAATATGTTCCTGATTTTAGAGTTCAGAATCGTAAGGCCAGATGTTTGGCCGAATTAATAAATAACTCCTCAAAAGGTCAAATAATGGTGAGAGGAATCAACTATTGAAACCTCCAAAGAGCTAAATTTTAGGTTTATCTGAGAAAACTCATATTATTGTAGAAAATAATAACTTAGGCCTTTAAGATATAGAATTCATTATTTTTAGGTAAAACTAGTTTATGTGGCAAGATGCATCGATATTTTCCTATAAAAGTTAGCATGAGTTCTCTTCTCAGATGCCAATGTCCCAAGAATACACCTTAGGATGGCACCATCTACTTTAGATGGGATGCAGCACTATTTCGTCTAGAGTGAATATTAGTTAAAAATTAAATCCCTTATTATCAACAAAACTACCTTAATCTTAATATGACTTAGCAGTACCTTTCCAAGACAGAAGTCAGTTAGCTTTGGTCTGGCTCACAGATCTTGCTAAACTTGGCTAGTCCAAGTGAGTTTGCAGGTCTGATTTAGAAAGGCCATTTATTAAATTCTAAAATTCTTCAGAATTGTCAGTCCATTCACTTCACTCAGTTTTGTTTCAAACTCTTTTAAATATGTTTTAAAACCATTTCTTATTAGCATCAGGTGAAGTCAGACCTGTGAGGTTAGAAGGATTAGAAATAGTAGATAAATATTCACTCCTCAAGAATACTAGCTTCAAGTAATTTTCCAGTAGTTGCTCACTAATTTTAAAAGTTCACTTATAGCATAACCAACCTACCCAACCCCTACTACGCACTTAAATCCACACTCTGACAACTCAGGATGATTCCGTCCTGGCATTACCAGTCAAACCTCAAACTGCTCCACTCATAAACTAAAGCTCCCCTCCTCGCACTAAATCTCCAGCCAATATTCCTTCCAAGGAAGCCCTGGTCGTTTTGTCAGCCTGTTCGCCCGCAGAAACCTCAAGTGCAGAAGGCCAAAGAGGAATCTACCCAAGGCGATCGGTGGGAATTGGAGAGGATGGAGGCCCTGGATGGGATTGGGGCGTTGGAAAGGACCTTAGGGTGTAGCCTGGCGCTTATGATGGGTTGTTATGATATATAATAGGATATCTTTAAAGTGTTGTCTTCTTAATTTTTATTAGAAATCTTAATCCTATTAAAACTATCCAAAACCAAACTTTCAAATTTCTGATCTATAACCAGTCAACCCCTGAATCTACCCCAAAATCATCTCTCCTAAGCTACCAATACCAGCCTCCATTTCTACTCCCCTATCTCCCACCCCACTCAGCCATTAGCTCACTGGCTTCCTTCATCTCTCCTCGTTCTCTTCTGTGAGCATCCACTTGGACTCCTCCAATCTCTGTTCCAGCTGGAGCCGACCAGCTGAGCACTGGAGGCTTCAGCTTTGGAGAAATTTGTGCCAAGAGCCTGGGCTGAGGGATTAAGTGGCCAAGTGCTTTGGCACCTGAGGGCTGGTAGGGGTTAGAAGGTGCAGACACCGGGGAATTAAGTTAAATTTATTATGCAAAGAGAGTCTCAAGCAATCTTTATGAAGAAAATTTAAGTTTTAACCTAATTTCTTAATGTTATCTTTTTTTTTGTCTAAGTTATTATCACTCACACTACACTGCTTTAGGTTTTTCTTCTTCAATTGTAGCACACTCTAAGTTTCTTCAATTATTTATTAGTATCTGTTGATGTGTCCAGATTCCTAGTTTGAACTAGATTACTTAATAAGGAACTGTTTGATTTCTACAGGCTGATGAACTTAATTTGTTTTTTCGAATCGGAAACAATCATTGAAGAGATCTAATACGAGAATGACATGAATGTAGGGTATGTCATGCTCTGTCTCATAAGTTCTAGTATCTTTCTAAACAGTAATTGAAGGATCACAATGTTTGTGATAAGTGAAAGGCAAATTATTGTAGAAATTTGGATGATACCATTAGAATTATCTTACCATTTACTATAAAAAATTCAAAGTGATCATAAAAGAAAGTACAAGAAGATTGCTTAAAAGGATCATTAAAATCTACCCACCTAAACCCCATTCACTCTTTAATTTACCAGATTGAAACTTAAGCTCGACTGCACCTCTTACAAACCTAGAACCCCTTTCTCCTTCGTATCTTCCTTTTATCCATCCAGATCCTCAACCTCATTCCTCCAATTACCAAACTCCACTTATTTGGTTTTAATAAACTAAAACTCTCAACCCAATTGACCTTCTGAGGGGTTTTGGGGTTTTGGGGTTTTGGGGTTTTGGGG